GAGAGAGAGAGAGAGAGAGAGAGAGAGAGAGAGAGAGAGAGAGAGAGACATGAGCATTGTCTGTGATGTTTGGCCATCAAGTTTCCTGGCCAGACCCTTGGTTTGATTTGTGTATTTGCCTCATTCTTGGTTTTCCCAGGGTTCCATAGGTGACTTCGGGCTTCCCAGGGCAGACCTGGAGCAGGAAGTAGAGCAGTTGAAGATCCAGGTGATGCGCCTTCAAGCTGAAAAGGCAGACCTGCTGGGCATCGTCTCGGAACTACAGCTCAAGCTCAATGCCAGTGGCTCCTCGGAAGACTCCTTTGTTGAGATCAGGATGGCTGTAAGAATTACGGTCATTTTTATACGAAGCAAACGCCCAACCCCCCCCCCCCCAGACATGTGAAAATAACACGGCAATGTGTTTTCAACACAGCTTTTCCAAATAATGAGGAAATTTGCAGAATAGCAGAGACAAATTTGCTTCCATTTTTTAAGTGTAAGATGATGCCTAATGAGGCATGCTTATAGTGGGATCCAGCACTAGGTTAAATTTTTAAAAAACAACAAAAACAACTTAGCTTTTTGGACAAAAGTCCCCATCCCACATATGTCTTCCCAGGTTGGACATTTCTCTGACTGATCTGAAAACAAACAAGCAAAATGTCCCAAATGAAAACAATAAGCAGGAATTTTGTCTTTTTTTCCTCAAGTCAAGTCTCAGAATTGTGTTGAATAGTTCACTTAGGTGAGCAAAATTGTTATCAAATGTTAGGTTGATATTTAAACAGCTTAAATTATTTTTTATACGAGTGCCATAACAGTGCCTGGAGGTCAGAGGACAACTTTCAGGGATTGGTTCTCTCCTACGATGTGGGTCCAAGGAATTGACTCAGGTCATCAGCCTTGGTGACAATTGTCTTAACCTGCTGAGCCATCTTACTAACCCTTAAACTCCTTTCAATAGTGTTTAATAGACTCTTTTTTGCAAAGCCTAGTGAGGAATCATGATAATTAAAAATAAGAGGGCCTGAAAGGATCGCTCAGAAGGAAAATGTTTTGGCCACATAAGCCTGGCGACCTGTGTTTTTTCTCTGCAACCCGCATAAAGGCAGAAGGAAAGCACTGGCTTCTCAGACCTGTGTCACCTGACCTGTGCACTTCCATGGCACAAACACCCACACACAAATAAATAATAATAATAATAATACTTTTTAATGATAAAATGTACTGGTTGTGTAGCTTAATTGGTGAGAGTGCTTGCTTGCAAATTGAACATGCTAAGCAAGCAAGCTTCTGGGGAGACATGAAGAATTACCCACAATTTGCTGTCAGCACAGCTCAACCAAATGAGGAGTAACCATGTAACAGAGATAAATTGGCTATCAAATTTTGCCCAGGCAGCTGCCCTTATAAATTTGCCTGCACCAGTGCCCGTTAGGGAACCAAAGCCTAAGGACTCAAACTGACAGGATCTGTGCGCTGGTCATATCTCAATAAGCTAATAGAGTAAATCTTCACACGGGCACACAGATGGTTCGGGATGCTCTGGCTATGCTCTTCCCAAGCCATGGACAGAGTTACCCAGCTCACAGCAGCAGAGTGAAGCACGTCTGCTCTCACAGTGACGTCACTGGTCAGGGAGGCAGCAGATGATGCTAACCCTGGGAGAGGCCGTGTTTGGAAACTTGTTTAAGTGTGTAAGCCCGAACAAGGGTTGTCCTGGATGCAGGTGAGAGGCACAGGAAAGAAACCAACAAAATGGCCACTCCGCTATTAGGTGGGATATTTTTATTGTGAATAAGAGAGAGAGAATATCCAGAGGCATCTAGAAGAGTCTGTCTTAAAGAGAGAAGAAACAAACTGGACATGGATATCTGCAAGAGAAGCTGGGGTGGGAGTGGGGAACAGCGTGGAAGAATCATTTGGGTTTTAAGAAGGATCAGTAGCTGGGGGAAGGGAGCCGGTGATCTGGGACAGGCCTGGGAGTTTAGGGGGAAAGGGAAACATGAGGCAGTGAGAAAGAAGTGTAGCCGTGTTTGTGAGTAGGGGCTGTAGGAACCTGGAGGCCGGCATGGGTTTTGATGTGCAGCTATAGGTTTATGTCAACGGATGGCATGTCTGCCAGTGGCAGCCAGGAACCCCAGTTCACAAGTTCCTAAGGCGTGCTGGCTCTCTCTAACCACCAGAAATCCTTCTACAGTCCAGCCTGAACTGGGCCAACTGACATTTCTAGACCACGCACTACCTTCTGTAGTTTGGGGGATTGTAGTTTCCTTTGGACTAGCCCTATAAGTCTAGCCATTCATGTTTCATATATCAAGCCCTGGGTTCCACCCCCAGTGCCACATAAACTGAATGTAGTAGCATACACCTGTAATCCTGGGACTCAGTAGGTAGAAGCAGGAGGAGCAGAAGTGCAAGGTTATTCTAAACTAGGTAGCCAGTTCAAGGCCAGCCTATGGAACCTGAAGCTTGCCTCAAAAAGAGGGGTGGTGGCTGGAGTTAACCCAGCAGTTAGAATACAACTGCCCTTTCTGAGGACTTGAGTTGCATTCCAAGCATCCACATTGGGTGGCTCACAACTACCTTTAGCTCCAGCTCCAGAGCACTGACACCCTCTTCTGTCCTCAGAAGGTACCTGCACTCACCTACACTTACACACCAGTGCATACATACATATAATCAACAGTAAGATAAATACTGGGGTGGAGGCAAGAAGAACAGTTACTCTGGGTGCAGACTGAGGAGGATCTGGCCTTTACCTCCTTGCTAGAGGCCATGACTTGGCTTCTGAGGACAGAGTTTTGAAGCCAGAGCTATCACACTTAAATTCTGTGTAACCCAAGTGAATTGGCCAACTGAGGCAGTGAGTACTGATCCCTGAGCTCATGTGGGGCGTCCCTTTTGATGGTATCTGGGTGTGCTAAGCCCCATAACAGAAAACAAGCAGGTGGATAAGCTTGTTAGAGGGATCTCTCCTTCAGTGCTGCTGAGACATGTCTAAACTGAGGGTAGAAACTACACCAGGACAAAATCCTTCGTAATAGAAGTGACATTCCCTTTGTCAGAGTTCATATCTGCTGTAGGAAAAGCGATTAAGGAGAGAAGTGCACTTTGTAGATAAGGCCAGGGAGTGGAGAGCAGCTTGCAAGACCCCTAAGGTACGGGACAGATCTGGAGCAGTTAGCGTGGGATTCCCTACTCACCAACCGCCCTACAGATCAGTCCAGTTGGAAAATGACCCCCTAAGAAACTTTCGGTGCATTCAGGGTGCCCAGAATGACGACTTGAAAAGCATACTTCTCTGCAAGTGGCTAAAACGCAAAGTTAGAGCTTTCGCCCCGTGAACGTCAGGAAACACAGACATTTTATCAGGTTTCCAAACACGGCCTCTCCCAGGGTTAGCATCATCTGCTGCCTTCCTGACCAGTGACGTCATTGTGAGTGTAGATGGACTTCACTCTGCTGCTGTGAGCTGGGAAACTCTGTCCGTGGCTTGGGAGGAACATAGCCAGAGCATCCTGAACCATCTGTGTGCCCGTGTGAAGATTTACTCCATTAGCTTACTGAGATATGACCAGCGCACAGATCCTGTCAGTCTGAGTCCTTAGGCTTTGGTTCCCTAACGGGCACTGGTGCAGGCAAATTTATAAGGGCAGCTGCCTGGGCGAAACCATTGCTTTGTAAGCCTCGTGCACGTGTTTATGGAGTTGGGTTGAGTGTGACAGGAGATTAACCATCATGCCTTAGCTTAAGTATATGTAATCCTGACAAGGCATGCAGGCCCAGGGGAGAGTGTTCTCTGTTTCATTTGAGTGACCCAGTTTAGGTCATCTCTCATACAAAAGCCGAGTATTTTCCTTGGGTGGACTCTTGTCTTTTTTTTTTTTTTCTGCAAAGGGAATTGACTTACAAGTCTATTGTATTTAGTTCCTTTCATCTCTGCTTTTACAGGAAGAAGAAGCTGAAGGGACAGTGAAGGAAATAAAGAACAGTCCTGTACCTACAAGACCAGACTACGTCAACATGTAGGTGATGGAACTCTAGAGTTGTCAGGGGCACAGAAGGGGCAACCACGTGACTTTGAACTTGTCATTGGAGGTCAGGCATCATGGACTGAAGAAAAGTAACATTTTCTGAGGCAGGGTCTTCCCCGGGTTTAATCTGAACCTGCAACCGCTCTGCCTCAGCTTACCACAAGCTAATGCTCATTTTCAATGGCATTTAATGTTGCAGCCCAAACTAGCAGGGAATGAAAACAATGTCTGGTGCCTTTTTGAGGCTAACAAGTGCTGACCCTCTGTTGCAGAGCTGTTTCCTCTCTATTAGAAATGTAAGCAAATTCCTCTCTATCCTAAATGTAAACAAATTTCTCCTCAATCAAAAAGATGAATTCCTAGTCAGCAGTCCTGTGTTTGCTCATCTGTTTGTCAGAGCTACTCGAAGTAAACAGGCTGCCCAGCCTCCTGAAATGGGATGTACCCTTTCTCTTCCTATTCTTCCCTGATTATAAGAAGCCACCAGTACTGGTTACTGAGGCAAAGGCTGTGATAGCTGTCAATCACTGGGACATTTCTTGAAAGTGCCCCAGATCTTTTTCCTTAGCTTATTATTAGTGTATATGTACATGATGAGGAGGGAACATGCTACAGTACACATGTGGAGGCACACATGTGCACACAGTTTATAGAACTACGTTCTCTCCACTGTGTGGGTTCTGGGGATCAAGCTCAGGCCCTCAGACTTGACGGCAACATCTTTACCTACTGAGCCATCGGATCAACCTCAAAAATGTCCAGGAACTTACCTAGGCAATCTCAAATCTGCCTTTCCCAAGCCCGTACTAGAAAGGCCGGCTTTTGAGCAGAGGTGGCAGGAGGTCTAGGCACTGAACTTGGTTCTTGAAGGCAGTGTTCCCCAATGCTGGTGGTCACTTATCCTCTGTGCGTGTACATGCAACATCAGTCCATTTGCTTGTCAGTTTGCTCAGAATTCCTCTGCGTTTCTTACCTTTTCTTACAGACTTTTAAAACCATTTTTTCCATCACTTGATAAATATGCCTAGAGAATGACACAAAAAAGTAGCAACACTTTTTTGTCTGTCCTTATGTTCTCATGTGACGGAGAATGTAAATAATACAACAGTTTTCCACCAGAGTAATTGCTATAGGTGAATGTTATTACTGGCTTTTGGGGGAGGTTAAAATGCAACTTTCCCCAAATTGCTAATTTTAATATCAAGACTTTCCTGGAAGTAGAGGGAAGAAAGAAAACTGTGTCTGTAATTTTTAAGCCACTTCCTCTTCATTTATTTCCATATGCAAAGACTCCTTCCTCTTTCAGACCAATGGCTCTTGCCTTTTATGAGTCTGGTAAGGGATCTGGTATTGGTTTCTAGGCTCGGAGTCCCAGCCTTGGAGTCTTTAATCCTGGCTGTTAGCTATGTGAGCCTAGCAGACGACCGAAAGACTAGCGGCCATCCCTGCCGTCTCCGTCATCACTCTGAACGTCCTGTCACTGGGTGGTGGTAACAGTAACACTCGACATTAGTGTCTCCATGCCTCTGCTTTGTGGGAAACCAAAATCAGAAAGGCCTTTTTTCACTTGAGCCACAGAGATGATAGTCTCTGCCAAGATGGAGTGGGCAGTGGTCTGAATGGACCTAAATAGTTAATCTCCACTCTAAAACCGAATCTCTGGGGATCACCGCACCTCCAGCCACTGTGGACACAGTAGCTCTGGAGCAAGTGCTCACTTTATGAGGTCAAGCTTCCTTGAAGCATTGTGTTAGTTTCCACAGCCTTCCCAGCGTGCAAAGAAGAATTAAACAGTGTCCACAGGATCAGCTGTGCTTGGGGCCATTAAGAATTAATTGGAGGATGTTGGTTTTAGCTGTGTTGGACTTCTTTGTTCTTATTCTTGATATTTTTGTTGAGATTAAAACCTTTTTAACTTGCATACTGAATGTGGTGGTGATGTCTTATTAGGACCAGATCTATAGAAGATGCCAGGACATGTGTGGAGTTTGAGGAATTAACTGTGAGACAACTCCTGCTCTGCCTAAGGGAAGGAAACCAAAAGGTGGAGAGACTTGAATTCGCCCTCAGAGAAGCCAAAGAAAGGTATGAACTATTAATATGAAAGATTAATGGCTTTAGTAAAACACAAATAAGATAGCATGTAGATCACCCTTTAAAATATACATTCCAAGGCTTTTAGTCATATGACCGTATGCCCATTGCCACAGTGTAATCTTAGACCATTTCCCCTATATAAAGAGTCAGTTCCCCTCACCATTCACTACCTGCTTCACCCAGTAACCAACTCTCTGTCTTTGGAGATCTCTGTGCCCTGGACAAATACGGCACTGGTCTTATGTGACTGACTTCTTCCACTCAGCATAGTGTTGAACTTCATCTACAACACTGTGTATGCCAGTACTCTGTTCCTTAATGCTGGTGAAGAACAGAATAGATATGCAAGCTTGGCAGCTGGCTAATCATATATCCCTAATCTTCTTCCTGCTTTCAAACGAAACAAACAAAACCACAGCTTTCTTCCTAGATACTGGAAGATATAGATAGCTCTTTAGAGGGGCGCACCCAACCCTGAGTACCCTGGAAAGGTCACTTTTTTGATGACATTGAACTTCTCTCTCGTGACCCAGATGACTCTCAGTATTTAACGGGGCAAGCCAGTAAGTAGTTGCAAAGATTCTTATTCTCTTCATGGTTCCAGGATAGTGGGTGCTTCTCAGACACAGCAGGACTAAAGCCAACATACATCATGGACACGTGCTCACCCAGCCTGGTTTGCACACACTGAAACTGGTTATGGCACAAACACATTACAAGACCAACCCTGTGTTTTTCTGAAATAAGTGGGCCAGCTTTCAGCCTTTCTCCCCGGTCACTGGAAACAGGGATACAGGTATTCTACATTTAACTTAAGGAAAACACAATTATAGGAGATATATGGAGGAAAGGGATGGTAGGTTTGCCTTTCTGTCTTCTTTGGGGTGTGTACAGCTTTCGTGGTTGATGTCATTTCTAGGGCTTTTTATTTTTGTCTTTTCTCTGTCATTTTGGTTTTGTTTATTTGTTATTTGGGGTTATGTTGTTGTTTCAGTTGTGAGTTTTTTTGTTTTTTGTTTTGTTTTTTGTTTGTTTGTTTTTGAGACAAGATCTCACTATGTAGCCCTGACTGGCCTGGACCATGCTGTAATAAACCCTGCTGAGCACACACAGATCGATCTGCCCTGGCTCCTGAATGCTGAGGTTAAAGTGTGCACCGCCACAGCTGACTCTTCTAATTAAGTCAGTAAGGAAAAAGAAGTTCTTAGTAAATGTAGCCCCTGTTTAAATAACAAGGGAAAGATGACTCAAAGTGAGTATTTGCCCCAGAAAATTAAGATAACTTGTAATCCAAACATAAATTAAAACCTGTGTCGCATATGAATGTTACTACGGTGTTAATAAGCCCACCCTCCTGCCCGTGCCATCTGGTACCTCTTCCATGGAACAGAGAATAGGCCTAGCCGGAGAGACAGCACTGCATACCAATTAAGGTGGACAGCTTGTAACCCACAAATGACAGACAGAGTGGTTCTACAGACTCCCGTGGAGAAGCAGTGCTTTGACCAACCCCTCCACCCACACTTTTCCTGCTTCTCGGTCACTGTCAGCCCATCTGCTTGGTCCTTTTGGTAGCTGCCTTCATGGATAAGGTTTAAGTTGTTATTTTCTTTGAAGGTTTTAAATATAACATATTGACCTCTAAGTGTGGAGGAGGAAGATTTAGCTGTCTTACACAACTATCATCAACACAGTACATGCATTTCTGGACTTTCGCTACCTCCTGTTCCCAGCTGAAATTGAAAATTTGAAGCATTAGTTACATGGCTACCCAGTGTTCATGTTACTGAGCGTTTAGGCATATGCATACAATGTACATGTGTGCTCACAGTCGAGCCATGATCTCTCTATGCAACGATCACTTTTCCCTCTTATACTTTTTATATCTCAGTGCAAAATCAGTCATTTATACGTTTGCGTAATGTCTTGGTCTGTTTTCTGCACCTTTAACAGAATGGGTTATAAACTGCGAAAATTTCATCCTGCAGTTCTGGAATCTTTCAACAGAAAACAGTCAAGTTTTTAATCCGAGCCTTTTTATTAGGAACCCACTCCTGAGATGACAGCTCTCCTGAAGGCAGGGCTGCTACAGTGCCATGGCAACTGAATGTCAACATAAAGGGCTGGAGACAAGGCGCAGCAGTCAAGAGAATATACTGCTCTTACAGAGGACCTAAGTTTGGTCGCCAGCACCCACAACTGCTTGTAACTCCAGAGGATCTATCTGATGCCCTCTCCTGACCTCTGTATTCATATGCGCACACACACACATACACACACACACACACACACACACACACACACACAATTCCTCTGAATCTTATGTTAATTGTTGCTTCCTTTTTCTGACAGATTTTTCTACGTACCTATCCCAGTCCACTGTGGTATAAACTTAAATGGGATCATATTACATATTTCCTCATAAATTATGTTTTTATTCAATTTTTTAAAGAAATCTTCTACCCCCAAAAAATTTAATCTTGAGTTTTAGAGGTGGTGTTCTAACTGTAGCTCCAAGTTTTCCCGATCTCTTAATTACATTTCTACTGACTTACTGAGAAAGAATATTAGAGAAGACTGTTTTCTGAGATCTGCCTATCCTTCCATTTTTATACTTCACCAGCGTTTGGCTAGATAGGGAACTCTAGGCCAATTGTTTTCCATGTGAAGTTTGAAAGCATTCCTTTATTGTACTTCTGGCTTTACTGCTGAGAAACCCATTGCCTTTCTGATTCTGACTCTCTTTGTATGGAACTTTTTGGTGCTGTTTCCCTCACCCCTGCAGGGTCTGAAATTTGACGCCTGTTTTAGTTGGAAGCTGTTTTTCACCAGTTTCATTCTCCTAATTCCTGCTCTTCTGTCCTTACAAAGCAATCTCGATTAATGTGGGGGATTTTGTCCTAACTTGGTCCTTTTTCACTTATAAAAAAACCCTGCTATCATCTCTTCCTTTTAGATAGGACTCATCATGTGATTTTCTTAGCCTGTGTTCCTCTGTGTTATCTGTGTTCTGTTGCTCACTTTCAGATCTGACCAATGTCCATCATTTTAGGGTGGATTTGTTTAATTTTTAGTGGGTACAAATAATGCCTTGGGTCTCTAGAGATATTAATGATAATCTCTCCTTTACACCGATTTTCGGAGCAGAATATGTTTTATTTCAAGGTTTTCCTCAAATGTCTAGTGATCTTGGCTGCTTAAATTTAGCAAGGAGGAGAACTGAAAGCTACTTGAAGCTTTGGGAAGACTCAGCTCAGGGATTTTTCTTGGTGAGGCTGTCTCTGAAACCTTAAAATATTTTTGCTTGTCCCTAGTCCAATTCTTTAGAGAATGCCTCCCATCTCCTGCTTAGATAATGTCTTTCTAGATGGCAGGGTTCTTGACATGAAAAGCAGAGGGCCAGGGCTTCATTTGTCTAGTGTAAATTCCCTTCCTTTAGGTAGGAAACCCAATCCCTCAACTGGGCTAAATATCTCTGTCTCCTGAGCCCCATTATTTTATCATTTCCAGTTGCCTTTATTTACCCCCCCCCCATCCTGTGGATACACACAATATCCTCAATTCCCAGACCATAAAGAGTTTCAGCAGTATGACACAGGTAACTTCTTGGCCCTCCCTATTCTTGGTTTAGGGTCCAGCTTTCTTAGAACACTAACCCTGCCCTACTCATCCTGTACAGGAACGTTTATTGTTGCTGCTGCTGTCTTTTTGTTCCATAGGCTTGTGTCCGTTTGAAAGTTACATTTGTAGGATTTGTAGTGGGAGAAGAATTACATGTATATACGGAACCTACTATGTGTGTGCACTTAAGCATAGGAGATTGAAGCCAGGGACATAGGCATGCTAGGCAATCTACCACATCCCTCGCTCTCTTTTTACTTTTTGTTTTGATTCGGGGTCCTCTGAAGTTGCCAAGGCTAGCCTTGGACAGCAGTTGTTAGGTCACCCAGGCAGCCTCTGAACTTCTGCTTTCTCACCTCAGATTCCCCAGGAGCTGAGATTACAGACCTGTACTGCCATGGCAGCCAGTCTGCCGCCTTCAGCCGCACTCTCTGGCTTCATCTGTGTGGAGACAGCTGTGTTCTGTGTGTGCTCATCCTCAGTCACAGCGCAGCTCTCCCCGCGCTAGGAGAGAGAACAAGACCACTGCTAATGAGGCAAATAGAAAGAGACCGAAAACCCCTCTCTTCTCCAGGCTTTGAGGGCGCTCACTGGGGTGCTTCTACAGTGCTTCCTCTTTCAGAAAGTCAAACTTTTCTACATTCCGTTGTTGTTGTTTTTCAGAATTTCAGAGTTTGAAAAGAAAGCAAATAACTGTTCTGAGATCGAGACCCAGACAGAGGGGAGCAGAGAGGAAGAGGGTGAAGAGGACAAAGACCCAGAAAGTGTGGGTATAACACTACTACGAAGCTATCACACCCCCACTGGTGATGTAGCTGTGAGTTCAAGCCTTATGTTGTGCTGTTTATTTTAGAAATGGAAACTTTTTGTTTGTTACTGGATATTTTCTATTTTTTTTCATTTCCTAATCCTGGGTTTGAACTCCATGTCAGTCACAGTAAGATGTATTCCAGTCTGTACTACATGAAACATGCATATCTCTTCTTGACTGATGTTACCCCCTAAATGCTTAAGCCCACAAAGTCCACCACATGAAAAAGACATTTTGACTATTTTTGATGAGATCCTTTGTGGACATGACTCTAAAACTTTTAGAATTGGAACATCTTGCTTCTGTCTCAGCACTGGTAGGAACAAGGAAGTTGGCATGGAAAAAATGTCCCTGAGTTCATTCAGTGTTGTATGGTAGCTCAGAGAAATGCCTCTGAGCCTGAGGAGTCTAGAGCTTAGGAATAGTCCCTAAGCTAGGAAGTTACGGTACTCACAGAAGTCCATAAGACAGAAACATAAAATGATCCTTTTGTTCACTGTATTCGTCAGTACACATACACATGCACACATACACGCTCACACACTTGCACTCTCTCTCTCTCTCTCTCTCTCTCTCTCTCTCTCTCTCTCTCATACACTATTTGCTACTTCCTTTCCTTTTTTTCTCCCCAGGGGAGGGGGGGCAGGGCAGGGAACGGCAGCATCTTACTTACTATGCAGCTATAGCTAAGTTCTGATGTACTATGTAGCCCTGGAGAGGAACTCTTGAAGCTCCTGACTCGGGTGTGCTAGGATTACAGATGTGCACCACCTTGTCTGACTCTGAGCCCCTACTTTAAGGCAATGGTGAACATTTCGAAGACTGACACAATGGCACACACCCCTATAATCCCAGTGCCTGGCAGGCTGAGGCAGGTGGATTTCAAGTTTGAGGGCAGCTTATGCCCCGTAGCAGGTTCCAGACCAGTGTGGCTACAAAAGTAAAACAAAGGAGGAAGGCGGTGGGGCAGAGGGCTGGGTGGAGAGGGAACACAGTGAACTTAGATGAATAGAGTTCTTCTGCGGAACAGCACACCATTAACTGAAATGAAGCAACAGTTGTGGGAAAGTATTGACGTTTCTAAGCTGTCCTGAAACTCATGTACAAATTGACAGTAGGCAGACTTCCAGGAAAAGAGCTGAATATATAACATGAACTAGAAGCAGAAGTAGGCAAGGCTGTAGGTTCTTATTTGTCTGATAGTGCAAATAAATAAGATTGCACTTTGATACCTCTGACCTGTGATTCCTGAAGCATGATTAGGGTGGGATTTAATAGTAAATCCATTATCATACATGCTCAGACTGATAGTTGCTCTACACGGAAATAGTAGCATACCCAGAAGACTGCTCTTCCCACAAGGCACTTGAGTAGGTTTTGCCCAAGTTAAATCTATTTGGGGTATCAATCAGTGTTATCTGGATGCTAGTGGTGCAGGCTGTTTCTCACACACAGTTCATGTCCGCTCTGATGGTTCTTATGTGAATGTCTGGCATTGTCTATATGATAGGTTGGAAGCGAAGTGGAAATACTGAACGTTCGAGTGACATCTCTGTTTAAGGAGCTTCAAGAGGCGCACACGAAACTCAGTGAGGCTGAGCTAATGAAGAAGAGACTTCAAGAAAAGTAATAACTCAGTTCATTTTATTGCATGATTTATGAAGCATGTTACTGTATCAAAATGGTTTTGTTACTGTATTCCTGACTGAAAGAAAAGCAGGGACCTATCTGAAATATGGTTCAGAAAAAAAGAGTTTTGATGTTGGTGTTTAAGCCTCAAGCCATTGTTGTCACCTGAGTCATGAGGACACAGGAGGGCTCAGGTTGTGCCGTGAAGAACACCAGCCTGTGTGACTCTTGTACAGAGCTGTGGGTTGATAAGCAAAAGGTGTGTGGAATGAGCATAGAATCTGATGGGGTCATTTAGAAAAGACCCATCCCAATCAATCGTTTCCATCATTAAAATTGGCATAGATAGTGATGATTTCGCCCTTGCTTGTTTTTCTTGATATAAGGAACTATCTGATGGCTAAGCATTTAGCTGGTGGATTGGAGTGTTTGCCTAGTATGGCCAAGGCCCTGTCTAACACCCAATACTGAGGTAGGCCTAGGAGTAGGAGAGCCTCTCAAGCCAAGAGTAGTGGCACAATACTTCAGTCTCCGCACTGGACAGGCCGAGGCCAGAAGGTTGGCAGTTTGAGGCCAGCCTGAACTAAATAGTGTAAAAAGGGGTGGGGGACAGGGGGCTAGTGAGATGACTCAGTGGGCAGACACTTGCCACCAGACCTGACAACCTGAGTTCCTTAGTTCCATCCCCAGGACCCACAAGATGGAAGGACAGAACTGATTCCACCAAATTGTCCTTTGATTTCCACTTGCACATCCTGACACATACACACAAAACAGACAAGTAAATAAAAATATTAAAAAGGAGTTAGCCAAAGCTAGCAAACCAAGTTAAACCAAGCTGATGTCACACTGGTCAAGCAATTTAACCTCCCTGAACCTCAGTTTTGTCAAACTTTGTATGATATACATATATTGTGATATTTGATGTATTGTGAAATATTTAATGTGCTTGGCATTAACACCCTGCACATAGCTATCATTTATTTGATGTTTACTGTTATTCTGTTCCAGTTCTCTTTCTGATCTCTAAGAGAAGCTCAGGAGTTTTCCTTCCCTCTTACTGAATCCTTGTCAGAAACCCAAGTCTTTGTGACAACAAACTTCTTAAACTCTGAAAGACACCCAGGGATTTCAGTATGAGATGCTCCTGAGCCAGCTACCACTTGATCGGGGTTAAAATATCACCATGTCTCATTAAGAAGCAAGGAAGAAGGAAACGGAACAAAAAGCAAATAGGAAGCAAAGAACAAAGTATTTTATTTGCCTCCATAAATCCTGTAGCCCTAACACACTATGTATTTTAAGTTCTTTGGGGATTTGCGCAGAAGCCTCGGGAACGACAAAGCTTGGTTTCTCCTCATGAAATATTCATCTTTTCAGGTGCCAGGCTCTGGAGAGGAAAAACTCGGCCACCCCATCAGAGCTGACCGAGAAGCAGGAGCTCGTGTATAACAACAAGAAGTTAGAGCTGCAGGTGGAGAGCATGCGCGCTGAAATCAAGATGGAGCAAGCCAAGACGGAGGATGAAAAGTCAGTGCTGGGCTGGGGGAAGCAGAGATTCCTCTGCTCGAGCTTTCAAGGCTGGGGGAAGCAAGAGCACGCGTTTCTGTGACATTTCTCTCACGATTCCATTTTTAATATCATGTTTTAATAGATCCAAGTTAGCTACTCTGCAGTCAACACACAACAAGCTTCTTCAAGAACATAATAGTGCACTGAAAACAATTGAGGAGCTAACCAAAAAACAGGTATTTATAGAGAAAAAAAATAGACTTCCATAGCCTGGTGGATGGAAACCATTGAACATTTTTTTAAAAAAAAAATACATGACCCTTGAACTCAGTCTGTTTTCAGAAATCGCTTTGCTGTTGATCAGTTATGTCAAAATCATTGTAGCTTTTCATGCTGTGCCTACACAGAACGTGCCTTGTGTGTGGAGACAGTGCTGATGCTTACCAGGCAGGGCATGGCTTTTCCTGTTTCTCAGGGTATGCTTGGAAGAGATCTGAGAGCCTGGGCTCCTATGTGAACAGTGTGCAGGGAGACAGGTGGCTATGGCTGTCTGCTGAATGAAATTATGCAAGGGCATCTTGTCTGCTGACAGTGAACCTGAAACCCTGATTTGCAGCATTTAATTTAAATTAATAACAATGCCCAGAATGATATACAATTTCCAGGCCATGAAGTCTGTGAATTAAGCCTTTCAATTTATACCCTTATAAAAAAAAATGCTTGTTACCACTCCCTCCTTCCCTTCATTTATCCCCCCCCTCTTTCATTCCTATAGTGGGGATTAAACCTACAGCCTCCTACAAGCTATGTTCTACTATGGGCTACTTCTCATCCCCCACCCTTCACCTCTTACAGATTCACAGAGTTACCTGAGCAGATCTTGAACTTGCAATCCTACTGCCTCAGTCTCCTGAGGCATATATATATATATATATATATATATATATATACATATACATATATGCACACACACATATATATACATATATATGGCTTTCTTTCTTTTCATTTTGTGTGTGTGTGCATCCATATTCATACTGTGTTGATGTTTGCTATTTTTTGAGACAGTTCACCTTAGTTTTGAGTGTCTTTCTTAGTGAACCAGAAGCTCACCAATTGGCCAGGCTGGCTGACCAGCAAGCAAGGGACCCTCCTGTCTCTGGATCCCAGCACTAAGGTTACAGACAAGAGTCACCATCACATCTGGCTTTTACGTGGGTGCCTAGGCTCTGGACTCAGGACCTCACACACACAGCAGGCACTCTATGGACTGGATAATTGCCCAGCCCTTTCTATTTCATTAAGAGAGAGAGAGAGAGAGAGAGAGAGAGAGAGAGAGAGCGCTAGGCATGGTGGGGCACACCTTTAATCCCAGTACTTGGGAGGCAGTGGCAGGTAGATCTCTGTAAGTTTAAGGCCAACCTGATCTACAAGGCAAGTTTCAGGACAGCCAGGGCTGTTAACACAGAAAAACCCTCTCTCGAAACAAAAACAAAAACAAAACAAAACAACAAAGAAAAGACTATTATAGCCTAATAGCTTTTAAAAAGCATTTTTTAAAAATATTTATTTATTTATTATATATACAATATTCTGTCTGTGTGTCTGCCTGCAGGCCAGAAGAGGGCACCAGACCCCATTACAGATGGTTGTGAGCCACCATGTGGTTGCTGGGAATTGAACTCAGGACCTTTGGAAGAGCAGGCAATGTTCTTAACCTCTGAGCCATCTCTCCAGCCCTAAAAAGCATTTGTTTATCTAGAGAATGAGTCTCTATATAGCCTTGACTAGCCTGGAAGTCACTATGTAGACAATGCTGGCCTTGAATTCAGAGTTCTGCCTATCCCTGCCTCCTGAGTGCTGGAATTAAAGGTATGAGCCATAATGCCCAGCAAGGACCTAATCCCTTTTAAATATAAACGTGTTTACAAAGTTAAAGTAACAAGATAAATAACAGTATCCATGCCTGAGGAGCTCATCAGAGTAGCTTGTTATTATTGTGTATCTGACAGTTATCTGATGTTTGATGTGTGCTAAAGATCTGAATTGATATACTGTGAACAGTTCTACATTCAGGGTTACCCTTTAAGAAATTGTTTTAAATGAGGAAGTGATTACTTACAAGTCACAAGTGGCTACAACTTCCTGAATGAATTATCACTGCTAGGTCACACTAGAGCTGATGGTTTTTAAGTATAAACCTTTCTCTTTTCCTAAAGTAGGCTGTATCGTCTCAGAACCATTTCTAGAATGAAGCTGTATTTTTTTTTTTAGGCAGAAAAGGTGGACAGGATGCTGCTGCAAGAACTTCATGAAAAGCTGGAGCTGGCAGAGCGGGCTTTGGCATCCAAGCAGCTTCAGATGGACGAGATGAAGCAGACCATTGCTAAGCAGGAGGAGGCCCTGGAAACCATGGCTGTCCTCCGGGCTCAGGTGAAACATGGTCCAGAACATGAGCTGAGGGAGGCCAGCCCTGACCAGAAGACCCAGTTTTGGCTCCCAGAACCCATGTCAGGCAGCTCAAACCCCTTGTAACTCCAGTGCAGAGAACACAACACCTTCTTCTGATTTCTATAGGTACTGCACACACGTGTACATGCATGCACGTGAACACATGAGCACACAGACAAAAATAGCATTTTTTTAAAAAAAGAAAAGAAACCTTGGCACCAGGTGCAATGGTGCATTCTGCAGTTTTAGCACCCAGAAGGTAGGTCATGTAACACAAACCCATGACTACAAGTTTGAAGTGAACCTGGTCTGCATATGGAGTTTCAAACCATCCAGGGCTATCTAATGAGATAGTGTCTCAAAATACAGAAAGACCAAAGAATGCAAAAGAAGATTTAAAACTGCTATTAAAACAATGTTCAGATCACTTTCATTCACTATGAAATGGGTTGTTCCATGTTATAATTTGAGAACAATGAAATCATTGCCATAATGTATTAGTTATGTACTTTGCTATATAGCAAATTATCCTCAGAGTATAGCAGCTCAAAAAGAAACAAGCATTTGTTGTCTCACATACAGAGTCTATAGGTGAAAATCCAGGAGCAGCCCAGCAAGGGAGGGAGGCGCTTTGTCTCAGAGTCTCTCATGAGGCTGCACTAAAAATGGGCTTGGCAGGCCATTTCCAAGATGACAGTCACATGGCTGTCAGGAGCCCTCCTTGTGTGAACCTCCCCAGAGACCTGCACATTGCATGACAGCTGACCTGCCCCAAAGCACATGATCCAGAAGAGAGCAAGGCATGAGCCACAGTACCCTTATGAGATGGTTTCAGAATCCACTAACCACCCCTTCTGTAGCATCCTGAGTTACACAGGCTGACAGGATTTATAGCATAGACCTGAATAGACACATGATTCTCCTGCCTCCGTCTCCCAAGTGCTATTCTGAGGACTTTTGATGAGGTGAAATGAGCAGCCAACATAAGACCTGGATTTCAACAAATACTATGTATTTATGTATGTATGTATTTTAAATTTAGCTTAAGACTAACATTCTGGTAAACCATTTACTATCTGTTTTTCCTGAATACTCTTTTACTGAATTAATGATGCATGCGTTCCTTAAGTCATTTGTTTCAGTTCAGTTTGGTGGCTCTCAGGGTTTAAAGCACCCACATGCACACGACTTACATCTACTGTTTAATGGCATTGGAAAGCCCTGGTTTAGTACAGCAGGTGGCAGCAGAAGGCTCTGTGTCGTTCCTCAGACAGGGTCATCGCTGAGTCCGTGCTCATCTCCATGGTAACTTACTTACCTTTCCTCTAACAGATGGAGGTGTACTGCTCCGATTTTCATGCTGAGAGAGCAGCCAGAGAGAAGATTCATGAAGAAAAGGAGCAGCTGGCCCTGCAGCTGGCCATTTTGCTGAAAGAGAACAATGACCTTGAGGATGGAGGCAGGTAAGACAATGACCTTGAGGGTGGAGGCAGGTAAGACA